TCTTGGTACCATCCATATGGGTAAATAACGCACTTACTCTTAGTACCATCCATATGGGTAAGTAACGCACTTTCTCTTAGTACCATCCACATGGGTAAGTAACGCACTTACTCTTACTACCATCCACATGGGTAAGTAACGCACTTACTATTAGTACCATCCACATGGGTAAATTACGCTCTTACCCTTAGTACCATCCACATGGGTATATTACGCGCTTACTTGTACTACCATCCACATGGTTAACTTTTGCACTTACTATTAGTACCATCCACATGGATAATGTATGCATTTACTCTCAGTACCATCTACATGGGTAAGTAACGCACTTACTCTTAGTACCATCTACATGGGTAAGTAACGCACTTACTCTTAGTACCATAGGTAAATTACGCACTTTCTATTAGTGCCAACCACATGGATAAGTAACGCACTTATCCTTAGTGTCATTTAGATGGGTGGATTTTGCACCTACTCTTAGTACCGTCCACATAGGGTAAGTAAAGCACATACTATTAGTACCATCCACATAGGTAACTTATGCACGTACTATTAGTACCATCCACATGGATAACTAATGCACTTACTCTTAGTACCATCCATCAGCACCGACGTTGACTTGCGAGGCGCCTGCAGCCGCCGACGACTGCATCCCTCGCGCCTGAACGCCGCAGACGACTGCATCCCTTGCGCCTGAACGCCGCAGACTTCACCGGCATGTATCACTTCTCGCTGACTCGACGACGTGCCTCCCGCACTGCTGCCGACCTGGTCACCGGCGTTGACGCCCACGTCGACGCCGCCCTCGGTGTTCACCGGTCGAGGAGAGGCTGGTCGAAAAGGGCGCTCCTTTGCCCACACGGCTCAGATGCCAGCCTTGACGACCGCCAAGGGGAGGGTCTCCCCGTACTCGCTAGCCAAGTGGCGTCTCCTCGCATCCTCCAACCGTGCCTCCAGGGTGTCCACCACCCCTGCGTCACCTATAGCGCCTACCATGGTGACTAACGCATAGCTGCCGGCCTACGAACTCAATAGGTAAGTGACCACTAAGTCGACTAGACTGAAAGGCAAGTTGTGTGCCGTCCACGCTCACCGCACGTTTGCGGAGATAACTCTATCAATGGGAGCTAGATTACGGGCTAGGCACGGGGTAGGAGGGTTCTCTACGTTCGTTTGTTCCTTAGTCATTTCCAAGTGCTTCACATTATTTGCTAATTGACGGGGAGAATTGGCAAAGTTTTACAAGGAAATCTTGAGAACAATAGATACAATGAAGTTGGCAAGAAAAGACAACATCAGAGCTAGCATGCAAGCAGGTCGACTGCCAGCGCAGCACGGTCGACCGCGTTCCAGCACGACTTGGTCGACCGCGCTCCAGCAGTACAGAGTCGCGGCTAGCCAACGCTGCAGGTCAAAGGCGTGCCAACAACGCAAGTAGACGGCGTGCCAACGTTGCTCCTGCAGGACAGCAGCGCACCAGCTTCGCAGGTGCTCGTAGATGATTGGCGGGCTATGCTGACAGCTGCCTCTGATCAGCCACCTTGACCTTGGGATACTACCACTGAGGTCGTCCTTGCCAACACCACCTGGGGGACCGTCGTGTGCCTCCGCAGAAACCTGTCGCCCGGGTAACCTGGTCGACCGGGCAACTACCTCGTCGATCAGCGCCTCTTTTTGCCTGTCAACCTCCCAAGTCGACGACCACCTCCAGTCGACCACACCAGGGCGACCTCAACCATAGTCGACCAGCTCCAGGTTGACGACACTCCTGGTTGACCAACTCTAGGTCGACCAGCACTCCTGTCGGCCGGCCACCCAAGTCGTCTGCCCCAAGTCGGCGTCACCAAGTCGACGCCCTCCACAGGTCGACCACTCCAAGTCGACCTCCCGAAGTCGGCGCTCATGCAGTAGCCCCCATGTAGGTCGACCACTCCTGTTGACCAGCTTGCCTACTGCTGCACGTCGGCTGCCCCCCTCACACCCGACCACGAAGTTGGCTCCGCCCAAGCGAGGACGGGGCCAAACCCAACTCCCGTTGACACCATCCACATGAGTAAATAGCATACTTATTCTTACTACCATCAACATAGGTAAGTAACACATTTACTTCTAAAACCGTCCACATGGGCAAATTACGCTCTTACCCTTAGTACAATCCACATAGGTATGTTACTCAACTGCTTTTACTACCATCCAGATATGTAACCTTTTTTACATACTACTAGTACAATTCAGATGGATCAGTTATACACTTACTCTTAGTACATCCACATGGGTAAGTAAGGCACTTACCTTAGTACCGTCCACATGGATAAGTAACGCACTTACTCTTGGTACCATCCACATGGGTAAGTAACGCACTTTCTCTTGGTACCATCCATATGGGTATTACTCGCTTACCCTTAGTACAATCTACATAGGTATACAACGCACCTACTTTTACTCCCATCTACATGGGCAACTATTAGTACCATCCATATGGATAAGTTATGAGACTATTCTTAGTACCATCCACATGGGTAAGTAACGCACATAATGTTAGTAAGGTACGCATGGATAAGTACCGCATTTACTCCTGGTATTATCCACATGAATAAATTACGCACTTTATATTAGTACCATCCACAAGGGTAGATTACACAATTAATCTTAGTTCCCTTCACATGGATTATTACGCACTTACGTTTACTACTATCTACATGGATAAGTAATGCCCTAACTCTTACAACTATCCACATGGATAAGAAACGCACTTACTCTTGGTACCAACCACATGGGTAAGTAACGCACTTAATCTTAGTACCAACCACATGGGCAAATTACGCACTTACTATTAGTACAACATAGACTGCTAAGTAGCGCACTTATTCTTAGAGCCATTCATATGGGTAAGTTACTCACTTCCTCTTAGTGCCATCCATATGGGTAAATTACGTACTTACCCTTAGTACCATCCATATGGGTAAGTAACGCACTTACCGTAGTGCCGTCCACATGGAAAAGTAAAGCACTTACTCTTGGTACCATCCACATGGGTAAGTAACGCACTTACTTTTGGTACCATCCATATGGGTAAGTAACGCACTTACTCTTAGTACCATTCACATGGGTAAGTAATGCATTTATTCTTAGTACCATCCACATAAGTATACAACGCACTTAATTCTACTACCATCCAGATGGGTAACTTTTGCACTTATTATGAGTACCATCCACATGGGTAAATTACACACTTACTCTTCGTACCATGCACACGGGTAAGTAACACACTTACTCTTAGAACATCCACATGGGTAAAAAACGCACTTACCCTTAGTACCATCCATATGGGTAAATTACACACTTACTGTTACTAAGAGTAACACGATTACTTTTAGTACTATCCATATGGGTAAATTACGCACTTACCCTTAGTTTCATATATATGGGTATAAAACGCACTTACTTTTAGTACCATCCACATGGGTAACTTTTGCACTTACTATTAGTACCATCCACATGGGTAACTTTTGCATTTACGATTACTCTTGGTACCATCCACATAGGTAAGTAACGCACTTACTCTTAGTACCATCCACATAGGTAAGTAACGCACTTACTATTAGTACCATCCATATGGATAAATTACGTACTTACTCCTAATTCTATCCGTATGGGTAAATAACCCACTTGCTCCTAGTACCATCCACATGGGTAAATAACGCACTTACTCTTAGTACCATCCGATAGGTGAGTAACGCACTTACTCATAGTACCATCCACATGTCAAACATTGTATGTTTATATTGTGTAGGCTGTAGTGGGTTACACCTTAGGGGGTACACAAACTTAGGGTTTCATACTTGTACCAAACTTCCTGCTAGTTCATTCATTCCTGCTCAGTCATTCTGACATGGTTTCAGAGCAGGTCCTTCGCTAGGACCTAATTCTCCTTCGGGCCCACCGCTACTTACTCTCTACTAGCGCCCTCGTGCGCCCTACTGTCGGAGCGCGCCTTAGCATCTCCCCCTAGCGCCCTCGCGCGCTTCTCCTTTTTTTTTTCGGCCCCGCTGGCCCCGTCCACCGCGCGCGCGCCCCGCTTAGAGGCCCCGCTGGCCCCGTCGACAGCGCGCGCGCCCCGCTTAGAGGCCCCGCTGGCCCCGTCGACCCCGCTCGCGACCCGTCTAGAGGCCCCGCCGGCCCCGTCGATCCCGCTCGCGCCCCACCTAGCGGCCCCGCCGGCCCGTCGACCCCGCTCGCGCCCCGCCTAGACGCTCCACCGGCCCCGTCGGCCCTGCTCGCGTCCCGCCTAGACGCCCCGCCGGCCCCGTCGGCCCTGCTCGCGACCCAACTAGAGGCCCCGCGACCCCGTTGACCCCGTGCGCACCCCGCCTAGAGGCCCCGCCGGCCCCGTCGACCCCGCGCGCGCCCCGCTTAGAGGCCCCGCTGGCCCCGCTGTTCCCGCGCGCGCCCCGCATAGAGGCCCCGCTGGCCCCGTCGACCCCGCGCACCGCCTCTTAGCGGCCCCGTCGCTACTGCTGCTACTGCTACTGCTGCTACTGCTACTGCTACTGCTGCTACTGCTACTACTATGGCTAGTCCTCCTGTGCTCGCTTTCGATGCTGAGGGCCGCCCAGTGAAATTCGACACCTGGCTCGATGACCTGCACCTCTTCCTACAGCTCACTGCCAAGGAGGACGTCTCACTGTACGATCACGCCCTAGGCCATGCTACTGCCCCTGACACTTCTGCTGACAGCACTGCCCGCTCGCAGTGGCAGACTCGTGACGCCCACGCTCGCTTTGCTATTCGCAACTCCCTGCCGATAGATGAGCGCGAGCACTTTGGCCAGCACAAGACTGCTAAGGAACTGTACACTGCTGTCGTTGCATGCTACTCCTCACCTGATTCTGCCGCACTAGGCCGCCTCTCACTCCCCTACCCCCGACCTGGCCTCCTTCCACACCGTTGCTGACCTCATCACCCACCTCAAGACTAGTGAGGCCCGCTTCCGCGCTGCTATGCCCGATGAGTTCCTTGCTAGGAACCCCCCCCCGCTCTGGCTCACTCTCTACCACATCGTCACCCGCCTCCCTGACTCTCTGCGCGCAGTCAGGGATCACTTCCTAGCTCGCTGCCCCACTGAGCTCACCATTGCCCTCCTCGAGAAGGAACTACTTGCAGCTGAGGCGAGCATCGTCGCTGTAGGTGCCTCTCGTGGCGACCCCCGCACCCCTTTCTTTGAGGGGTGTTCCCCTTCCCCCCTTCTCCCCTCTGTAGCCTCTGCTTCTGCTGTCGACCTCCTTGGTGCTGAGAAGGTCGGGACGGCGTCTGCTCCGAGCGGGCGCCGCAGGAGCAGAGGGGGCAGGGGTGGAGGTGGCGGCGGGGGAGGCGGGGGTGGAGGCGGTGGGAGTGGAGGTGGGGCTGGAGAAGCTAGTGGCGGCAGTGGGGGTGGTGACGGCAGCGGCGGGGGCGGTGGCAGGGGCGGGGGCGGCAGCGGAGGCGGAGGTGGTCGTGGCAGCGGCAGGGGAGGGGGTGGTCGAGGAGGTGGCGGCGGCGGTGGTGGTCGTGGAGGCGCTGGCGGTGGTCTGAGCCAGCAGCACACTCCGTCGCTCCAGGAGGCCCGTGAGTGGTATTCGCAGCGCCGGGGGGCGGGTGGCTTTAGCTGCACGTACGTCATCCGCACTGGTGACCGCACTGGTCAGACGTGTGGGAGGCCGCACCCCACGCAGCGCTGTTTCTCGCGCCTTGACGACGCTTGGCGCACCCAGTTCCCTGATGCCACTGAGCTGCCCCGCTGGGCTGATCTGGAGAGGAAGGGAGTTGATATCTGGGCTCTAGACTTTGATGCTATTCTCACTGCCATGTATGCGATGTTTACTAGTGGAGAGGGTGCTCAGTACCTGCGTGTTCCGCCCGATCCGGGCATTCTGACCAGTGAGGCTGCCGCTCTAGGTGCTAGTGAGACTGCCACTGCAGGTACTCGCGTGTCTGCTACCTCAGGTGATGGTGAGGCTGCCGCTCTAGGTGCTAGTGAGTCTGTCCCCCCTGGTACTGAGTCGACTGAGGCACTGCACACCTTCACCCTGGACTCAGGTGCTTCTCGCTGTTTCTTTCGTGACCGCACTGCCCTTGAGCCGCTCGCTCGGCCAGTTGCTGTCTCCCTCGCTGACCCCTCTGGGGGTCCGGTCATTGCGACCTCCTCCACTGTTCTTCCCTGTCCTGCGGTCCCGTCGGGCACACTGTCAGGTCTCCACCTCCCCTCGTTCTCTACGAACTTGGTGGCGGGTTGTGCGCTCCAGGACGGGGGTGTTCACCAGTTCACCCCTGCCTACGAGCGCGTGACACACTGCACGTGTGCTCGGACGGGCCGTCACCTGGCTACCTTCACTCGGCAGCCGGGGTCGGACCTGTACACACTGACCACTGAGTCCCCTCAGGTAGCTGCGTCCGCGTCTGCGTCAGGTCAGCTGTCGGCCCCCTGCTCGTGTCGCTCTCTGGTGCACGAGACCGTCCTCTGGCACCACCGACTTGGTCACCCGTCTGTGCAGCGCCTTCGTGCCATGCACAAACGGTACCTTGTCTCTGGTCTTCCCAGGGTTCTCCCTCCCCTCCCACCCTCGCCTGCTCCTCCCTGTCTTCCCTGTGTCGAGGGGCGGCAGCGCGCCGCTCCTCACTCCTCCTCCTTTCCCCCGACGACTGCTCCCTTGCAGACGCTCCACCTGGACGTGTGGGGCCCAGCCCGCGTCCGTGGACAGGGTCAGGAGAGGTACTTCCTGATTGTTGTTGACGACTACTCGCGCTACACCACGGTCTTCCCCTTGCGCACCAAGGGTGAGGTCCCTGATGTCTTGATCCCTTGGATCTGCATAGCTCGTCTCCAGCTCAGCGAGCGTTTCCGCTCGGACTTTCCTGTCCTGCGTTTGCACTCTGACAGAGGTGGTGAGTTCTCTTCCGACCTCCTGGCAGCCTACTGTGCCGAGCACGGCATTGAGCAGTCGTTCACGCTTCCGGCCTCTCCACAGCAGAATGGGGTTGCTGAGCGCCGCATTGGCCTGGTCATGGAGGTCGCTCGTACCTCCCTGATCCATGCGGCTGCTCCCCACTTTCTGTGGCCGTTTGCGGTCCGATACGCTGCGCATCAGCTCAACCTCTGGCCCCGTGTCTCCTTGCCGGAGACTTCCCCGACACTGCGTTGGACGGGAGAGGTTGGCGATGCGTCGCGTTTTCGGGTCTGGGGATCCCGAGCTTTTGTTCGCGATACGTCCGCGGACAAGCTCTCCTCTCGCGCTGTTCCTTGTGTCTTTCTTGGCTTTGTCCCGGACGCGCCTGGTTGGCAGTTTTACCACGTCACCTCGCGCCGGGTTCTGCCTTCTCAGGACGTCACTTTTGACGAGTCCGTCCCCTACTACCGCCTCTTCCCCTACCGCACTGCTCCGCTCCCCCCCCCGCCTCTCTTCCTCGCGCCAGGTGCTGCTGTGGTAGACCCCCTCCCCCCTCAGGGTGCTGCTGTGGTCGACCAGGGAAGTCGACCTGGGAAGTCGACCAGCTTTTCTGGTCGATCTTGGAAGTCGACCAGCCCTTCTGGTCGACCTGGGAAGTCGACCAGCCCTTCTGGTCGACCTGGGAAGTCGACCAACCCCTTCTGGTCGACCTGGGACGTCGACCAGACCCTCTGGTCGACCAGGAGTGACGTCGACCTAGAGCTGGTCGACCAGGGAGTAGTGGTCGACCTGGGAGGTCGACCAACACACATCGGAGGCAGTGGTCGACATGGGAGGTCGACCGGAGGTGGCCGTCGACTTGGGAGGTCGACGGGCACGCACAGGAGCACCTGGTCGACGTGGTTGCCCGGTCGACCATGTTACCTGGGTGACGAGGGTCTGCGAAGGCACGCGAAGGTCGCCCAGGCGAGGTTGGCGAGGACGACCTCGGTGGTGGTATCCCGAGGTCGACCTGGCGGATCAGATGCAGCCGTCAGCACGAGGTGGACTTGGTGCGTGCGATGTGCAGGTGACGAAGCAGTGCGCGCCAATCACCTACGAGCACCTGCGAAGCGGGTGCAATGCTGGACTGTAGGAGCAACGCTGGCACGCCGTCGACTTGCGCTGTTGTCACGCCGTCGACCTGCAGCGTTGGCAAGCCGCGTCTCTGCACTGCTGGAGCGCGGTCGACCAAGTCGTGCTAGCACGCGGTCGACCGTGCTGCGCTGGCAGTCGACCTGCTTGCATCCTAGCTCTGATGTAGTCTAGTCTTGCCAACTTCATTGTATCATTGTTGTCAACTTTCTCTAGTGAAACTCTTGCCAAATTGCCTTGTGAACTAGCAAGCAGTGTGTGCACTAGGAAAACGACTAAGGACCAACGAACGCAGAGATCACACGAGCACCCATGCCTAGCCCGTAGTCTAGCTCCCGTTATAGTAGTTATCTCCGCAATGTGGACGTTACTAAGAGTAAGTGCGTTTCTTACCCATGTGGATGGTACTAAGGGTAAGCACGTAATTCGCCCATGTGGATGGTATTGTGAGTAAGTGCGTTACTTACCCATGTGGATGGTACTAAGAGTAAGTGCGTTACTTACCCATGTGGATGGTACCAAGAGTAAGGGCTTTACTTATCCATCTGGACGGTACTAAGAGTAAGTGCGTCTCTTACCCATGTGGATGGTACTAAGAGTAAGTGCATTACCTATCTGGATGGCACTAAGAGTAAGTGCGTTACTTACCCATGTGGATGGTACCAAGAGTAAGGGCTTTACTATCCATGTGGACGGTACTAAGAGTAATTGTGTTTTTTTCCCATGTAGATAGTACAAATAGTAAGTGCAAAAGTTACCTATCTGGATGGTACTAAGAGTAAGTGCGTTACTTACCGATGAGGATGGTACCAAGAGTAAGTGCGTTACTTATCCATGTGGATGGTACTAAGAGTATGTGCGTATCTTACCCATGTGGATGGCACTAAGGATAAGTACGTTACTTATGCATGTGGTTGGTACAAATAAGAAGTGACTAATTTACCCATAGAAATGGTGCTAATAGTAAGTGCAAATTTACCCATGCGGATGATACTAAGAGGAAGTGCGTAATTTACCCATGTGCATCACACAAAGAAGAAGTGCGCTACTTAACCATGTGGATGGTACTAGGACTGAGTGCGATACTTTCCCGTGTGGATGGTACTAGTAGTGAGTGCGTAATTTACCCGTGTGGATGGTACTAAGAGTAAGTGCGTTACTTATCCATATGGACAGTACTGAGAGTAAGTGCGTTACCTACCCGTGTGGATAGTACTAATAGTAGTGCAAAATTTGCCCGTGTGGGTGGTACTAAGAGTACGTGTGTAACTTACCAATGTGGTTGGTACTAAGAGTAAGTGTGTTACTTACCCATGTGGATGGCACTAAGAGGAAGTGAGCAACTTACCCATGTGAATGTCTCTAAGAATGTATCGCTACTTAGCCGTCTGGATGATACTAAGAGTAAGTGCGTTACTTACCCATGTGGATGGTACTAATAGTAGTTGCGTGATTTACCCATGTGGATGGTACTACGAGTTAGTCTGTTACTTACTCATGTAGATGGTACCAAGAGTAAGTGCGTTACTTACCCAAATGGTTGGATAGTTGTAAGTGTAAGGGAATTACTTATCCATGTAGAAAGTAGTAAGAGTAAGTGCGTAATTATCCATGTGGATGGTATGAGATTAAGTGCGTAATTTACACGTGTGGATGGTACTATTAATAAGTGCGTTTCTTTACTCATATGGATGGTACTAATAGTAAGTGCGTTATTGCCCATGTGGATGATACCAAGACTAGGCGCGTAACTTATCCATATGGACGGCACTAAGAGTAAGTGCATTACTTATCCATATTGATGGTACTGCTAACAAGTGCAAAATTTACCCATGTGGATGATACTAAGAGTAAGTGCGTAATATATTCATGTGGATGGTACCAAGAGTAAGTGCGTTACTTATCCATGTGTACTTTACTTAGAGTAAGTGTATTATTTACCCATGTGGATGGTACTAAGAGTAACTGTATAACTTATCCATATGGATGGCACTAATAGTAAGTGCAAAAGTTGCCAATGTAGTGTAAAAGTAGATGCGTTGTATACCCATGTGGAGGGTACTAAGGGTAAGCGAGTAATTTGCCTATATGTATGGTACTAAGAGTAAGTGTGCTACTTGCCTATGTGGATGGTACTAAGAGTAAGTGCGTTACTGATACATGTGGATGGTACCAAGAGTAAGTGCGTTACTTACCCATGTCGATGGTACCAAAAGTAAGTGTGTTACTTACCCATGTGGATGGTACTAAGAGTAAGTGCGTTATTTACCCATGTGGATGGTACTAAGAGTAAGTGCATAACTTATCCATCTGAATGGTACTAATAGTACGTGAAAAAGTTACCTATCTGGATGGTAGTAAAAGTAATTGCGTTACATACCTATGTGGATGGTACTAAGGGTATGAGCGTAATTTGCCCATGTAGACGGTACTAAGAGTAAGTGCGTTACTTACCTATGTGGATGGTACCAAGTAAGAATAAGTGTGCTATTTACTCATGTGGATGGTGTCAACGGGAGTTGGGCTTGGCCCCGTCCTCGCTTGGGCGGAGCCGACTTCGTGGTCGGGTGTGAGGGGAGCAGCCGACCTGCAGCAGTGGGCGAGCTGGTCGACAGGAGTGGTCGACCTACACAGGGGCTACTGCATGAGCGCCGACTTCGGAGGGCGCCGACTTTGGGAGGTCGACTTGGAGTGGTCGACCTGTGGAGGGTGTCGACTTGGTGATGCAGATTTGGGGCAGCCGACTTGGGTGGCCTGCTGACATGAGTGCTCGTCGACCTGGAGTTGGTCGATCAGAGTGTCGTCAACCTGGAGCTGGTTGACTAAGGTTAAGGTCGACCTCGTGTGGTCGACTGGTGGTGGTCGACAACTTGGGAGGTCGACGGGCAGAAAGAGGCGCTGGTCGACGAGGTGGTTGCCCGGTAGACCAGGTTACCCGGGCGATGGGTTCTGCCGAGGCACGCGAACCAGGTGGTGTTGGCAAGAACGACCTTGGTGCTGGTATCTAGAGGTCAATGTGGCCGATGAGAGGCAGCTGTCAGCACGTAGAAGATATGGTCTATGTGCTGTGCCGGTGACGAGGCACGGCACGCCAGTCATCTGCGAGCACCTGCAAAGCCGGTGCACTGCTGTCCTACAGAACAACGTTGGCACGCTGTCGACTTGCGATGTTGGCACACCTTCGACCTGCAGCGTTGGCGAGCCGCGACTCTGTACTGCTGGAGTGCGGTCGATCAAGGTGCTGGAACGCGGTCGACCATGCTGCGTTGGCAGTTGATATGCTTGCGTGCTAGCTCTGATGTAGTCTTGTCTTGCCAACTTCATTGTAACTATTGTTCTCAAATTTTCCTAGTGAAACTCTTTCCAATTCTCCCCATGGACTATCAAATAGTGTGAAGCACTTGGAAAAGACTAACAAATGAACCCGTGCCTAGCCCGTAGTCTAGCTCCCGTTGATAGAGTTATTTCCGTAGATGGTACTAACTCCATGTGCATAACTTACCTATGTGGATGGGTGTAGTTGGTACTAATAGTAAGTGCAAAAGTTACCTATGTGGAAGGTAGTAAGAGTAAGTGCGTTACTTACCCATTTGGATGGTACTAAGAGTATGTGCGTTACTTAATCATGTGGATGGTACTAAGCATAGGTGCGTAAATTACCCATGCGGATGGCACTAAGAGTAAGTTCTTTACTTACCTATGTGGATGGTACTAATATTGGCTGCGTAATTTACCCACGTGGACGGCACTAAGAGGAAGTGGGTAACTTACCTATGTGGATGCAACTAAAAATAAGTGCGCTACTTAACCATGAGGATAGTACAAATAGTAAATGCGCTATTTACCCATGGGGATGGTTGTGTAAGTTCGTTACTTACCCATGTGAATGGTATCAAGAGTAACTGGGTTACTTACCCTTGAGGATGGTATTAAGAGTAAGTGCGCAATTTACCCATGTGGATGGTACGAAGTAAGCGTGCTACTTATCCATGTGAATGGTACTAAGTATGAGTGCGTTACTTACCCATGTGGATGGTACTAAGAGTAAGTGCATTACTTATCCATGTGGATGATACTAATAGTAAGTGAAAAGGTTACCTATGTGGATGGTAGTAAAAATAAGTGCGTTACATACGTATGTGGATGGTACTAAGAGGAAGTATGTTACCTATGTTGATGGTAGTAAAAACTTGTGTGTTGTTTACCCATGTAGATGGTACTAAGTCTATGTGCGTTACTTACCTATGTGGATGGTACTAAGAGTAAGTGCGTTGCTAACTCATGTGGATGGCACTAAGAGTATGTGCGTAATTTACCCATGAGGATGGCACTAAGGATAAGTGCGTTACTTCCCAATGTGGATGGTACTAAGAGTAGGTGCGTAATTACCTATGTGGATGGTACTAATAGTAAGTGCATAATTTACCCATGTGGATGGTACTAAGAGTAAGTGCGTTACTTACCCATGTGGATGGTACTAAGAGTAGTGCGTTATTACCCATGTGGATGGTACCAATAGTATGTGCGTTTCTTCTCCATACGGTACCACGAGTAAGTGTTGCAAAGGATCCGGTCACTTTGAAGACTTACGATGAATTCTTTTCTCAACTAAATGCAAATCCTATTGAAGCGAAGGCTCTCCAAATGCTTGGGAAGGATGGTGGGAACCTTCGTAGCCTCAAAGATGCAACCCTCATAATAAGGTCCTTGAGGTGTCACATGCAAAATCCAATCCAATTGGATTTTGCCTAGGTGTTGCAACATTTGCAACCCATGCTAGAAACTTCTAGCCACCCCAATCCAAAAGTCAAAGTTGCCTTCCTAACCACCCAACCAAAGTTTTCTTTATAGTCATGACCCAATAATTGCCCACATTAGCTAATATCCCAAATTAAGATAGACTTCTCAAATCTTGGAAATCTTGTAACTTGGGCGATCTTGGTCGGAATAAGGCGATCTTGGTATCGTTGGAAAGCTCTGGATTTCTCCTGCACTACCATGCATTTAGGCTTAGAGAACAACACAGAGGTGATAAAATCCAACAGCCACGCAACATGCTCATGCAAAATGACGCAAGCATGAATTGCACGAGCACGCAGCAGGACGTTAGGATGACATGCACTCATACCGATGTGCATACAACAAACTCCCCTTCCGGACTGCATGCACACACACTCACACGCATGCGCACAAACTGATCACACTGAGACACACACATGCTCCCGTTATATTCCTAGCCACAATTCTTAGAGAACTTCCAGTGTGCACTCTCCGGAAGTCTCTTGGTAAGAAAATCAGCTGCCTGCTTGCTGGCCTTCACATAGTGAAGCTCAACTGCCCCCTCTTTCACTGTCTGCCTCACCCAGTGCCACTTGACCTTCATGTTGGTGTAAGGGCCTAATAAACTCAAGCTATTAGGACTTAATCAAACTTAAAACCTCTCCTCGGGGTCACCTCCAAGGGTCCCTGGGTGCCTGGTACAAGACCAGCCCCTATCCTCGGGTCCGAGTTTGTAGAGAGAGGGATCAAGAAGGACTTAGTCAAAACAGCAAGAGTACCTTGAACGTCGCGCAGCGTGCCGTGCAGACCGTCGGTCGGATTAAGCTGAGAATTCGTTATATCGAAGCTCGCTCCAAGAGCTTTAAAATGAGCCAAGTTGCCTCGCGAAAAGTTCTGCCATTACTAAGTTCTGGCTCGGACAGCGTTTGCCTAGCGTTGGAGTGCTAGCATACTAGCGTTGACTCGGGTAGCATTCCGCCGTCGAATAGCGCAGAAACGAAATTCCAGCGAGGAAGGAATTCGCTTGAATCAATTTTACTATGTTCAGGTACAAACAGAGAAGGATTAAATAGTTCTAGCTAGCAAGGACATTGGGAATCAACCTGGGAACAACCAGGGATGATCCCAAATAATTCCAAGCAACAGAACCAACCTGGCTGGACAAAATAGCAGGTGGTAGGTTGGTAAACAACCTCTGGTTCTGTTTTTCCAACCTGGGAAAACAACAACCAGGTTCAGGTTCTAAAAACAGAACCTGTTTTGTCTTTGCCTAACCAGCCAAATGCTGGTTCCGCTGGTTTCCCCTGGCCTTGTAGCATGCAGATACAGACAAACAACATCCAACCTTCACCTAAATTGTACCCCTATAGTGCCTTCCCTGCTACACTATAGTTAACCAAACAAAACAGTACAATTCCGAGTTGGATAGAACTGAATCTGCGCAATCAACTCAACCGAACTGCAAAGCTTCCATCTTGGGTTCCTTTGCGAGCTCGTCCTTCCTGCTTGCACTGTTCATAGCGCGTACAATGTTGTGCCGAAGCGCACATTGCGCGAGTACCTGCAAATGCATCAAGCGAAAATTGCGAAAGCAAACAAACACACGAACATTCCATTCACACCCAAATGCATTCGCACACGCATACTCGTACAAAACAGACGGCAGGATGTCGTGCAATGTGCATTTGCACCCAACACACTCCCCCTCAGCCTGCCGGCTGCATCCCCGTCATTCCATGCTAGTTCATGCTCATTCCACTCATGCGCACACAACGCCAATGAGGCTCATCCGCAAGCCTCTTGGTGAGAAAGTCTGCTGGCTGCTGGTGAGTCTTGACGTAGATCGGATTCACCGTCCCCCTCTTCACCTCCTTACGCAGCCAGTGCCACTTGATACGCATGTGCTTGTTCAGGCCATGAAGCACAGCGTTCCTGGCCATCCCAAGAGCCCCCTTGCTATCACAAAACAGCGGCGTAGCAACTTTCTGCTCCTGGCCAATCTCCTCTAACAGCCTCCTCAGCTAAATCACCTCCTTAACCCCATGGAACATCGCCATGTACAATGATTCTACGGAAGAGAGTGCCGTCTCCGTCTGCTTCTTGGACCTCCAACTAACAGGTCCTCCCCCAACTACGCAGATGTATCCTCCCACAGATGAGGAATCCTCCTTCTCAGAAGCCCATGTAGCATCGGTAAAGCAAGTGAGAAATAGCTTGCCTTCTCCAAGCCTCTCTCCCTTCTCTTTCAGCACCTCCACCCCTTTCTGCTTCACCTGTGCAGATGCGGAGTATTGAACTCCAATGCTTGGGTGAGAGTTCAGGTACTTCACCACACGCTCAGCTGCATCCACCTGCTCCTCTGATGGATTCTGCACCACCCTAGCCAGCTGCCCAACCGAGAAAGAGATGTCGGGCCTCGTGTGAACTGCTGCGTACAAGAGGCTGCCCACCAAGGACTGAAATTGCTGCTGCTCTTCAGCTTCAACCCCTTCATCCTCTGCAGCCTTCACAAGCTTGAATTCTGCTGGCAGGGGAGTTGCAACCTTGCGCTCATTCTCAATCCCATACTTCTCCCCCAGCTCCTTGATGAACTTCTCCTGGTGCAGCTTCAACCACCTGTGATCTGGATCCCTCTCCACGTGCATCCCGAGGTAGTACTTTACCTCCCCAAGGTTCTTGCACTTGAAGTTCTCCATCAGTTGCTGCTGCACTTTCTGGATCTCCTTCATGCTGCTGCTGAAGAGAAGAATGTCGTCCACATAGACCAGAAACAGCACCAGCTTCTCCCCCTCGCCCTTGAGAAAGAGGCTCTCATCACAGCTGCTGGTCCTGAATCCCATCTCCTCTAAAACAGCTGCCAACTTCTGGTACCAGCAGCGTGGCGCCTGCTTCAAGCCGTAGATGGACTTGTTGAGCTTGCACACCCTGCCCGTACCATCCTCATACCCAGGCGGCTGCGTCATGTACACATCCTCCTCTAAAATCCCATTCAGGAATGCCGTTGAAATATCCATCTGAATGATGAATTTCCCACTAACAGCTGCATCTGCCAACAAGACACGGAGGGTAGGGGGTTTGGCAGTGGGAGCAAAGATCTCGTTGAAGTCCTGCTTCTCCTTCTGCATAAACCCCTTCGCCACCAGCCTACTCTTGTAGATGGTGACCTGCCCCTTGTCATCGGTCTTGATCCTCAGCACCCACTTGCATTGTATCGCTTTCTTCCCATCAGGCAGCACCACCAGATCCCATGTCCCATTCTCCAGCAGACTCTGGTACTCAGCATCCCTAGAAGCCAGCCACTTGTCCCTATCTGGTCCAGCTAATGCCTCCTCCATGCTAGCTGGTTCCTCAGGTGCAGGGGCAAGAAAACAGTACGCAGGCTCATCCTCCTCATCCGGGTCATAGCCATGAGGTAGAATCAGCAATGCCTCTTCGGTCCCTAGCTGCTGCTCTGCTGCATCAGTTCCTGCAGTCAGCTTCTTAGTAGCCATACGGGTACGTCCTGGCCTGGAGACGGGTGTCTCCCATCCCTTCATAACGACACCCTTCGGCTTCTTAGTTTTTCCCTGCTGCTTCTCTCCTCCCTCGGGTCCAGCAGCTCCACTAGTGCTGCCGCCAGTTTCCACACCATTTTCTCCACCAGCAGATGCCTCCTGTACCTTCTCTCCATCACCATTTCCAGCAGCTGCCTCCTCTCCCTCCTCCCACACACTAGGAGTCAGGTCCAGCTGCATGGTGATCTGCTCCATCTGCTGGGACACCCTTGCCTCCGGCTGTTTCTCCCAGCTCCCATACATCATGCCCTCAATGAATTTCACATCCCTACTGTCAAACAACACACCCTTGGATGGTTCCCACAGCAGCCATCCCTTGCTCTCAGCAGCCAGCCCCAAATGCACACACCAGATTGCACTCGCCCCCAACTTACTGCGGTAGGTCTTGGGGACGTGGGCGACTGCCATGCAACCGAACACCCTCAGCATGTCCACCGGCGGCTTCCTCCCAAGCCACCTCTCCAACGGCACCCACGAGTCATCCCCAACCTTGGTGAGCACCCTGTTCCTAGCGACAGTGGCGTGCCGGACAGCATGAGGCCACATAGAATTGCTCAGCCCAGATTCTATGAGCAGCGCCCTAGCTGTCTCCAGAATGGTCCGGTTTGCCCGTTCTGCTACACCATTGGACTGTGGGGTATAAGCCGTGGTCAGCTCTCTCTGGATGCCCTGCTTCTTGAGCCAGGCCGTCATTTCAGCTCCAAGGAACTCACCACCCCGGTCTGTCCTAATCCGCTTCACTACACACTCCGCCTGCTTCTCCACGAATGGCAGCCAATCGTCCCGTATCGTGGAGGCGGCGTGGTCCTTCTGCTTCAGCGGATACGCCCACATCAGCCTGCTCCAGTCATCCACAATTGTAAGAAAATACCGCTCCCCCTTGTGCCCTTGCACCGGCAGCGGCCCCACCAAGTCCATGTGGACCAGCTCCAAAGGCTTCTTGCTCCTGCCAGCCACACTATGGAAAGGGAAACGGGTGAACTTTGAAAGCAAACAGATTTCACAGTTGTCATCGGGTGGCTGTCCGTTCAGCTTCAGACCCTTAACGGCTCCATCCTTCTCCAGCTGCTTCAGCAAAGGCATTGCCACATGCCCTAAGCGCCGGTGTGCCGTTGCCCAATCTGTCTCCCCAGATCTGGCCGACACTTTCACACCAACCCCTCCAACGGCATTGCACTCCCCCTGGGATGCAGACCCCTCTCCAGCCTGCCCCCCACCATGCCACGCCAGGGCCGGCAGCTGCCACATAGATCTGTACACGTCCTTGCTCTCGTGCAGATCCCAAAGCACCCGATTGCCCAGCTTCCCCTTATAAGTGCGTGCCCCATCCGTGTTGGTGTTCACCCCAGCCTTGCCAAGCTTACGGAGGGAGATAAGGTTGGCCTTCAGGTCGGGGACGAAGAGAACGTCGTGCAGCACCACCGGCTTGCCATCCGCTCCTTTAAACGCAGCTCGTCCCGCACCAGCCACCTTCAACATGTGTCCAGAGGCGGAGCACACTTCATTGATCGGTGCAGCTCGTACTTCGTCCAGCAGGTCCTTGCGCGGTGTCATCGTCCAAGCAGCGCCTGTGTCCAACACCCAATAGTCTAGGGGGTGCAGCTCTGCTCCAACTTTGGCAGAGGCGTCTCCTTGCTCCCCCTTGTCTCCTACATGGAAGAATTGGCCCGCGGTGCGCTCCTTCTTCTTCTCCGCACCGCCGTTGCCCTTCGGGTTGTTGTCGGACGAATCAGCGACCATGTTGGCGCCGTTTTTCTGGTTCCTCCGCGCGCCGCCATCCTGGTGACGATTCTGGGGGGTCCATCCATCGGGTTTCTTATAGCACAAAAACCAGGGGTGCCCTTCCTTCTCACAATACCAGCAACTCCCTTTCATTTTGCCACCAGCACCCGACTTGCCCCCACGTCCAGATTTCGCACCGCGACCCCAACCGGTACCTCCTTGTTGGTCGTTGGAGTCGTCGTCTTTCTTTGCACCGCGTCCAGCACCACCGAAGCCACGTCCTCTGCCACGTCGGCTCCCTTGCATCCCGTAGCCGCTGCTGCCGTCGTCTCCACCCCTCAGTTGGCGGCGACGGAAGTCCTCCTCCAGAATCTTCGTCCGCACCCACTCGAGCGTCCACAAGCTCTGGTTCTGCGGCAGGCTCAATCCGCTCGTAAATTGAAGCCACGATTCTGGCAGCAGCGAGAGCATCTTCAAGCACTTGGTCTGCTCCGGGTAGGTGATTCCCGCGGTCGCCAACTTCGCGTAGAGGTCGCGCATCTTGTCCAGGACTGGTTGCACCGGCTCTCCCTCGCTCAGGCGCAACGCGGACAGCTCCCTCTCCAGCATCAACGTTGCGACAACGGAGGTCGGGGCGTGCAGCTCCTTCAACACGGTCCACGCCTTCGGACCGCATTCAACCTCCGGCAGCAGGTGCATGACGTGGTGACGCTGGTTCAGCTCCAAACTCTGCGACATCAAATAGTAGCCAGCCGAGGAGCGCTCGTCCCAATCTTCCTGCAGCGTGGGGTCACTCGGTCTAGGCTCCTCCCCAATCATTAGTTTCAGCAAACCGATCTGACGGAAATATAATTGCATTTTCCAGGCCCAATCATCATAGCCCTCACCATTGAACTTCTCGACGGTGAAATTCTTCAGCACCTCCTTGACAAGCGAGCCCTGGTTTGTTCGCGCTCCCCGTGGCGCTGAAAGACCAGAATCTTGGCTGCCGCTACGATCTTGGGCTGAAGATTCACCAGCTCCCGCCGAGGTGTTGCCCGCCATAGCTACCTATAACGAGGATCACTATAACGCAGCTCTGATACCAGCTTGTTGGTGTAAGGGCCTAATAAACTCAAGCTATTAGGACTTAATCAAACTTAAAACCTCTCCTCGGGGTCACCTCCAAGGGTCCCTGGGTGCCTGGTACAAGACCAGCCCCTATCCTCGGGTCCGAGTTTGTAGAGAGAGGGATCAAGAAGGACTTAGTCAAAACAGCAAGAGTACCTTGAACGTCGCGCAGCGTGCCGTGCAGACCGTCGGTCGGATTAAGCTGAGAATTCGTTATATCGAAGCTCGCTCCAAGAGCTTTAAAATGAGCCAAGTTGCCTCGCGAAAAGTTCTGCCATTACTAAGTTCTGGCTCGGACAGCGTTTGCCTAGCGTTGGAGTGCTAGCATACTAGCGTTGACTCGGGTAGCATTCCGCCGTCGAATAGCGCAGAAACGAAATTCCAGCGAGGAAGGAATTCGCTTGAATCAATTTTACTATGTTCAGGTACAAACAGAGAAGGATTAAATAGTTCTAGCTAGCAAGGACATTGGGAATCAACCTGGGAACAACCAGGGATGATCCCAAATAATTCCAAGCAACAGAACCAACCTGGCTGGACAAAATAGCAGGTGGTAGGTTGGTAAACAACCTCTGGTTCTGTTTTTCCAACCTGGGAAAACAACAACCAGGTTCAGGTTCTAAAAACAGAACCTGTTTTGTCTTTGCCTAACCAGCCAAATGCTGGTTCCGCTGGTTTCCCCTGGCCTTGTAGCATGCAGATACAGACAAACAACATCCAACCTTCACCTAAATTGTACCCCTATAGTGCCTTCCCTGCTACACTATAGTTAACCAAACAAAACAGTACAATTCCGAGTTGGATAGAACTGAATCTGCGCAATCAACTCAACCGAACTGCAAAGCTTCCATCTTGGGTTCCTTTGCGAGCTCGTCCTCTCTGCTTGCACTGTTCATAGCGCGTACAATGTTGTGCCGAAGCGCACATTGCGCGAGTACCTGCAAATGCATCAAGCGAAAATTGCGAAAGCAAACAAACACACGAACATTCCATTCACACCCAAATGCATTCGCACACGCATACTCGTACAAAACAGACGGCAGGATGTCGTGCAATGTGCATTTGCACCCAACACTTCATGTGCTTGTTCAGCCCATTCAAGATAGGATCATTGGCCATGGCAATAGCATTCTTGCTATCAGAGAAAAGTGGTGTAGGTCCCTCCTGTTCAGCTCCCAAGTCATCCAGCAGCTTCCTCAGGAGCGCAAACTCCTTAACGGCATGATACATTGCCATGTACTCTGCCTCTGCTGAAGAAATGAGCAATCTCACTCTGCTTCTTAGACCTCCAACTTACTGGTCCTCATCCGACCATGTACACATAGCCACCCACAGATGACTGATCCTCATCCTCCGAGGCCCATGTAGCATCAGTGAAGCACGACAACTTCAAGGTTCCAGACATAATCCCATCTGCTCCAGGTTGCTTCAGCTGACCTACAGCTGAAAACTGAACACCAGCAAATGTCGCAGATCCGAGGTAACGCACCATGCGCTTTGCCACCTCCAAATGCTCCTCTGTGGGCTCCCCTCTTGCTAGCTGCCCTACTCCGAATGAAGCACCGGGTCGCGTATGCACGGTTGCATACATCACACTTCCAATGAGTGATTGGTACTCATTCTGCAGCTCATCCTCGAGCGCATCATCATCCTCAGCTGCCTTCTGTAGCTTGTAGACCGCAAAAAATGGCGTCGTCACAGTGCGACCCTCAGTCACGCCATAACGCTCCATCACGCAGAGATGTGATGTGAGTGATGCATTTTCAGCCACTTCGTCTCGACATCCCGCCCAATCTGCAGCCCCAAGTAATAATGGACATCCCCAAGCATCTTGCACTTGAAGCTGTTGATACTCAGCTTTTTGAGCCTCTCCATCTGCTCCATGGAAGGTGAGAACAGCAGTATGCATCAACATACAACATACACCAGCAAGAGCTGCTGCTCCCCCTCTCCGAGCAGGAACAAGCTGTGGTCAGCTTGGGATGTTTTGAAGCCTCCAGCCAATAGCACTTCCTCGAGTTTCTCGTACCAGCAGCTAGGTGCTGCTTAAGGCCATAGATAGCCTTCTTAAGCTTGCACACCCGGCCAGTACCATCATCATAGCC